ACGTTTTCTTTCTTCCTTCCTTTCTTCCCTCCGCATCCCTTTCTCCGTCTCTCTCCTTCTTCCTCTCCTGATACTGGTCTCGGTCTCTACCTCTTTCTCTGTCTCTCTCTCTCCTACTCTTTGTAAAACAGACTATTGCCTCTAATTCCATAAGATACTTAGGTTACTTGCACGGTTACAGATAAAACTCATAAGGATTATCAGTAGGAATTTTTCTAACAATAAGTTGTGCAGTTACTCATACAGCGTATTATATTCTCCCACTGTTGCAGATTCAAAAAGTTGACAGAAATCAGGGAAATTTAATTCCAGAGCAGAGTGCCGGTGATCCAGGGTAGTTACACAAAAGTAAGTTTAAAAAGACAATTTCAGTGTCAGGATTCAATTGAAAAGGCTGATAACTTCAATTGTCTTGATATGTCCAGATATATTTAAAAACAAAATTCTAAAAATTATTTTTGTTTTTAAAAGGAGGAGTGTTCTAACTCTCAGAACCAAAAATATATTCACTGATTAAAGTTTTGTTGACCTTAGTTCATAAAGGATACTAAATTTTAAAAATCTTAAGAATTTATGAAACATGGGGGGAAAAAAACCATGTTAAGAGCCTCCTCCAAGTCTAGGCAATGGGCTTCTGAAAGTTGTCTTCTCTTGACACCAGGTACTGAGGAATAGGACCTGTTTTGACACCAGCTGAAAAGACACTCAAATCACTAATGACCCATGAGCAACATATTCCCGTTCACGACTCTACATCATTTCTCCACAGAGGACTTCGGTTGTTCACTCGAGTGCTCTGAGGTTTAGGTCAGTTTTGCTAGGACCCTCCAGAGGGTCTCCTGTCTGATAAGACCACCTATTTGAATAATCACAGAATGAAGAAACTTATTCTCCCCACTATGCATGGGAGGGTCCAAACAGTATGTGGAATCTTTTAAGTGGAGAAAACTTGCATTTCCTTCTCCCCATCATAATGTGAAATTAGGAAAAGCTAATCTGACAACTCGTTCATGACCAGGAGGGTTAAATTGCCAAAAAGTAAAAGGAGTCTGTCCTAAAGAATTTTCTAGGACTGATATGATTTGGCTGTGTCCCCACCCAAATATAATCTTGAATTGCAGTTCCTATAGTTCCCACGCATTGTGAGAGGGACCCAGTGGGATATAATTGAATCATGGGGGCGGTTTCCCCCATACTGTTCTCATGGTAGTGAATAAGTCTCAGGAGATCTGATGATTTTATAAGGGGTTTCCCTTTTCTCTTGGCTCTCATTCTCTCTTTTCTGCTGCCACGTAAGACATGCCTTTTGCCTTCTGCCATGATTGCGAGGCTTCCCCAGCCACATGGAACTGTGAGCCCATTAAACCTCTTTTTCTGTATAAATTACCCCGTCTTAGGTATGTCTTTATCAACAGCATGAAAACAGACTAATACAAGGACACTACCCAAAAGTTCAGAAAGAATAAATACATTGCAAAGATGAAACTGCTCAATCAAGTGGAAAGAGGTTTCCTTCCCCAAATTTAAAAGCCAAATGTATAAGCTGACATCCAGTGTTATACACAACATATTTGCTTTCATTATTATGAAAAGTATGACAAACACGAAAATGGAAAATGCAGATATGAGTGGGTGATTGTCACCAGAAGTCTCACTGACGTTCTTTCCCTCGATTCTGTCCTGTCAAGTCAATTCTCGTGATTAGCATCATGATGGAACACTCTACTCCCTTTCTGTTCTCAGGAGGGACGCCTGAATTTCTTTGTTTCTTCCCAACATCCTAGATCCTATAACAATAAAACAGGCAAAATACAGTTGCTGTGGTTCCATTGCCCCTGACTACAACTCACTCTCCGAGTTAAACCAAGATAATCTTTCAAACACCCAAAACATAGAGGTCTCTCTAGGTTTTAAAGCCATTCAGTGACTTCCCATTGTCTGAGAGTGAAATATGAAGTCCATTTTATGGCTTAAAATGTTCGTAGTGGTGTGCCTCCTTCCTTCTTCTCCAGCCTCATCTTCTGCCATTTCCTCATCCCTCATCAGCATCCCATGTTCTAGCCTTTCTTTTAATTGTTCAGATACACAGTATTCTCCCTTTCTCCTGGACACTAGAATCTTCAGCTCCCTCTGTTTGCACTACCTCTTCTTCCCTTCTCCTAACTTCTGTTCTACCCATAAACATTTTTCAGACTTCAGGAGAAACAGCACTTCCTACAGGAGACTTGCCTCTTCCACCTCACCATGTTAAGCCCCTCTGACATGGGCTGCCATATATCTGCCTGTGACCAAATTATTGTCTGCACCCCCAACGAGGCTACAAGCTCCATGGAGGTAAGATCATTTGTTTTATTTACTGCATGTACTCATGCCCTAGCACAGGACATATCTGTGGTGGCCAAAAAACATTTGTTGAATAAATTGTACAAATTATATGAGCACAACATGTTAAGTAGTAGTTACTTTAGAGTAGTTGTTTATGACTGATACCACCCAATATTGGAACACATGTGTAGAAATGCCTCAAAAGTTCTTCTTCCTCAGTCTTCAGGTCCACCTGTAAGTGATGAATTTCTTTTCCTCTTTCTCTGTGTCACAGATTACCACCACGTGACCATTTGGCAACTGAATAACTTTGACCATTAGATTCTTCTCCCATTACTGAACTGAATGGCCTTTCTGTTCTTGCCGTTTGCAGGAATGTGTGATGTTTTCTTAAGTACATATCACAAGACTGGCTCAATCCTTAATGCATCCATCTGTCAGTTTCCTCAATACAGTTTTGTCAATAAACAGAATTCCGTTTCCAGATTGGAAAATCTATGTGTTGCGGGCTGAATTGTGTGTCCCCCCACAAATCCTTACATTGAAGCCCTACAGCCTAATACCTGAGAATGTGGCTGTATTTGAAATTAGAGCCCTTAAAGAGGTGACTAAGTTAAAATAAGGCCACGTGGATTGTAATCCAATCTGGCTAGTGACTTTATAAGAAGAGGAAATTCGCACACACACATGAACACACATTCACAGAGAAAAAGCCTTGTGAGGACACAGCGAGAAAGTGACCATCTGAAAGCCAACGAGAGAGACCTGAAGAAACCGAACCTGCCAACACCTTGATCTTGGACTTCCAGCCTCAGGAATTGTGAGAAAATAAATTTCTGTTGTTTAAGTCACCAAGTCTATGGTATTTTGTTATAGCAGCCCTAGGAAACTAATACACCAAGAAAACTTAGAAATATCTCACCATATTCTGGAGTCGAAAATCTATCTGTGTCATCGTTCTTTCTCCATTTTCAACTAAGCATCTCTTAATCCAGAAATAAATATGAATATTAAGGAAGAAACTTAATAAGAATATTTCATTGATCACCAAATTTGTGCCAGGCATTGTACTGGGTGCTTCAAGGAATGTCAATTTGTTCCCCTTTTGACAGCTCAGGAAACAGGATCAGAGAGGTTATGTAATCACCCAAAGATCATACAATTAGCAAAGAGGATGAGACAGCATTTGAATATAGATCTAAGAGAATTCAGTGGAGTAGACAAAGCAAAGGCTTTGGAGCCATGTGACTTGGATGCGTACCCAAGTTTGTTGCTAAATTCTGGTATCAGTCACTTGTCTTGCATGAGGCTCATTTTCTTCATCAGTAAAATGAGGATAATACTACTTAACCTTGCAGGGTTAGCAAAAAAACTAAATGAAATATCTTATAAAAGAACAGAAACACAGTAGTTATTTAAAAATAGTCAGCTCCTCTATTGTAGCTTGTGGTAGCAAAGCTAAGACAAGCCCCCAGACCCCATTACTAGCAGTAACTGTCTTACGCCAGCAGTGTTTTTTTGTTGTTTGTTTGGCTGTTTCAACAAAGAAAAAGCTGATTTTTGTATTGATTTATATGTGATTATTTTAAAATTCAGTAAACATGTCTATCAGGTGAGTGACTGGCCTGCCTAATCTGAGCCTGGGCCTGTGAGTGAGTACTTCTTGCAATGTCTATGCTCACCACTGTGCATGGGATGAAGGAAAAATCAATTTAAGACTAGCCTGGCCTAACAGGTCAGAACTGAGCTGACAGACACTAGGGTATGGGAAAATATATATTTGCTCATGAGTGCTGATTTCAGTCTATTTTCAACTTCTATTTCTTAAATAAATCACCATTCAGAGAGGGCTAAATGTACTGCTCAGCTACAGTTATCTCAAAATTAAGAGTTTAATTTTCAAAAAAGAAGTAATAGGAGTCAGCCACACCTTGAGTCAAAGCTTCCTCCTTCATTTTCTAGATAAGTGACCTTGACCAGATTCCCCAAACTCCTTAAACGTGTTTTTCTCATCTGTAAAATGACCACAATAATAACTACCTCACAGCTTGGTTGTAAATAATAAATGCAATTATATATGTATACCGCTTAATGATGATAGCATTTATGTAACATTTGCTATGTGCCAGTCACTGGTCTAAGCACTTGACCTGTATCTAACTTAGTACAGTCTTCACAACAACTTTATGAAATAGGCACTGTTATTATCCTCATTTTACTGATGAGGAAGCTGAGATTCAGAGAAATTAAGTAACTAACTATCCAAAGGTCACAGAGCTAGTAGATGGTAGAGCTGGATTCAAGCCCAAGCAGTCTGATTGCAGAGGCTGTGCGTGTAGACAATAAGAGATGCTGCTTCTGAGTAAATATTCAACAATCAACACTTCTAATTGTGTTAAAGGAATAATCACCTCTCTTAACTTGGCATCCGAGTGTTGCATTTGTTTTTATTTTAAGAGAACTTTGTTTGAAAAACTAAATCAAATACAGCTCTCTACATGCTAGGAAGCCATGTGTCATTTCAAACATACCCATGCTCCATGCCTTCAGGCCTTTGACATTTGATACTCCCTCCTCTAAGTATCTTTGCCCTCCCACTTTCTTCAACTGTTTTCTTATGCAGCTATCAGATCTCTACCATGGAAACACCAATCACAGGATCATAAGGAGCTTACTGTCTCTGGGTGTCTTCAAAGAGGACTGTGTCTTTTTCTCTGGATCCCTTCCAGCTGATGCAGCACAGCGCCACCCAAAGTACATGCGCAATACACGCTGACCAAAGAAAAGTAGAGATAAATATGAGATATGTGTTCAAGAGAAGATGGAAAATTTTAATAGGATGGTGAGATTTCCCATAGGTTGTGATTATCTTTTTATATAACAGAAATATATTGATAATGGGTTTTTGGAGAAGAATGTTCTCATATTTTACATTAAAATTCCATTTTGAATTTAAAATATCTATGGAACATTATATGTGGTGTATTATAAAACCAGAAAAGGGCTGCTTACCCAGTCAACATCTCCCGAATCTTCTGATTTTTATATGTATTTCTCAGCTTCTGTGTTCAGGACATTATTTACTCTCACTTACATTAGCTATGTATTTCTGTCATCACAGTGATTTGTGTTATAAAAAACATAATTCTTAGCAAAAAAGAAGTTAAATTTGAGATAACCATCATCCGTATAATTTTGTAAAAACATTCTTATTTATAGGCTATACATGTGAGTGTCCCTTATCCAAAATGCTTAGGACTAGAAGTATTTTCAGATTTCAGAATTTTGGGGGGATTTCGTAGTATTTGCATGTACATAATGAGATATCTTGGGGCTGGGACCTAAGTCTAACCACAAAATTTATTTGTTTCATATACATATTATACATATAGCCTGAAAATAATCTTATGTGTTTTAATAATTTTGTACACGAAACCAACTTTGTATTAAGTACTTACATGTGGAATTTTCCACTTGTCATGTTTCAGATTTTTGGAGCACTTTTTAATAAAATCTTTCATTTAAAAAAGATTATTGCTTAGGAGTGGGGACCAGGGAGGCAGTGTATAATGACACTATCTTTATTTTGTTAGATAAGTGATTTATGTCTATTTGCAGACTTTATGGCAATAAATGATCTAGTAGGTTAGCCAGTTTGGTTGGCCTGACTGCTATCTACCAAAAAGATTTAATTTGCTCAGTGTTCTACATGATTTGGTCATCAGGGACATTTGGGAGGATTTTTTCTATTGGGAGATATATTAGGTTAGGCTGTGACAGCAAATAGAAGCAAACATGCAAAGGCCCAACAGATTAGAAGTTTATATCTTGCTTACATCGCAGTCCAGGAAGGCTCAGATTTTGGAGCACTTTGGATTTCAGATTTTTAGATTAGGGATGATAAACCTGTGACTGACACATGGCTTCCTGGCATGTAAAGAAGGGCCACAAGAAAGACACGGGGCATGGGACACCTCAGATGTGATGCCCAGGAGTTTAGATATTTTAAGGATTTTAAACATGAGAATATCTAAACATGATCAGATCAGTTTTAGAAATTTTCCTAGGAGAAGTGCAGAAGCTAAATTGGATGTAAGAAATGTGGAGCAATTAAATGAAATAAGCCAGGTACAGAAAAATAAATATTGCATGTTCTCAGTCATATGTGAAAGCTAAAAAAACACAAAACCTTATAGAAGTAGAGAGTAGAATTGTGGCTATCAGATGCTGGGAAGGGTAAGGTGAGGTGTGTATAGGGAGAGGTTGGTTAATGGATATGAAGAAACAGCTAGAGTAGAGGATAAGTTCTAGTGTTTTCTAGAACACATGTAGGGTGAATATGGTTAACAATAGTTTAGTGTATAGGTTCTAAAAGCTAGAAGAGAGGATTTTGAATGTATACAACACAAGCAATCCTGATTTTATCACTATACATTGTATACATGCATTGATATATCACTCTGTACATATATATCACTTTGTATATATAGATCACATAAATATGTACAGTTATTACATATCAACTAAAAAGGGAAAAAATCCTTCCTTACAGAGATCACGGTTTGGTAAACAGTTTAATTCACTGTAATAAAGCATCTCACAATGAAAAAAAAGCGGGGGGAGGGGAATTTGGAGGCAATGAGAAGCTAATTGCTGTTGCTATCATAGGAGAAAATATGAATCTGGACAGTGGCAGTGGAAATTGAGAGGAGGGAAAGGGATGAAGGGGTACTAACTTTTCTCTAGACCTCAGTCCTTGCTATCTACTAAAAAAACCTATTCCTCACACTTTTCTCTATCTCACATTTATTATTCATAAATATTTCAGAAGTAATATGTTGGGACTACTATTAATGTAACATTACTTTGTGGCAAGCTCTGTAATAGTTTTTAATATGTTTTACCTATTTTAATTTTCACCATTTTTTTTTAGAAAAGCTTACTTTACAATAAGGAATCTGAGACCCAGAGTTGAAGCAAATTGCCCAAGGTTACACAGCTGGTCAGTAGCAGACACAAGATCCAAACCCAGTTTGTCTGAATCCAATGCTGATGCCCTTGTGCCTCACTCACCCACTGCCAAACTTCTTCCTGTTCTTCCACTTGTCACTATCCTTGACTCATTGCACTTTGACCTCAATCAATCTTCTTGTCTTTTCTTAAAAGAAAAACATATTTGCTATCTAATCTTTTCAACTACTATCCAGTCCATTTTTCTTTCCATGTAACCTTGGTCTTCAGTCCATGACAATATCTGTCTTCTCACAGGTCATTTTCTGCTTTAATTCCAGCTGTTCAGTTTTTGCGCCTTCTAAATTTACTCACACTAAATATTGTCCTGAAAAATTCAAACTATTTCTCCATCCTTTATTCCCTGGTGCTCACCTGAGCACTTTGCATTATTAACTACTTCTTTCTTCTTGAAACTACTTCTCCCACAAAAACTGCAACCCTGTGTTCTCCCAACATGTTCCCGTGTTACCCCAGCAGTTCCTTTTCTGTCTTTTTTGCCAGTTCCTTCATCAGAAACTTCTATGTTCTATGTTCTGTGCAGGCCATTAGAGGAGCTGAAGTTTTGTTCGGTTCCTTGTTTTCTTTTTGTCTTCTACTATTATTTCCTTCCAATATGACCCCTCAGTTTACTCTTCATATTACAATTTTAATTATCATCCTTAAACATCTATCTTCCTGTCTTCCTTTCTCAACATTTTGTCAAGACCTAATTTCAAATTAATGTCAAAGACATTTGCTTAGCAGCTTACCAACAACACGACAAGACACATTTTACACAGTCTCCTCATACACTCCTTCCCTGCCCAGCCAGCCACCTTTCTCAGTGTCTCCCTTGGAAACAGGCAAAAAAGATATAAAAATGATTTATTCTGCTGTTAGTCTCAATCTTTTGCTCAACTCCCATTTCCCCCAAGTATTTAGAATTTTTTTTTCTTTAAGAAAATAAATGCCAGCTGGGCACAGTGGCACATGCCTGTAATCTCAGCACTTTTGGGGAGTCCAGGGTAGGAGGATCTCTTGAGCCCTGGAGATTTAGGTTGCAGAGAGCTGAGATTGTGCCACTGCATTCTAGCCAGGGAGACAAAGCAAGATCTTGTCTCAAGATTAAAAAAAGAAAAATAGAGAAAAAAAAAGGTCACCCAATTACGTTTACAGAATTAAAATTGCAGCCTGCCTCTGACAACATGAGAAAAAGAGAAAAAGGTCAGTGGAATAGCCCTTGCTGAATGCAAGTCCGCATACAGCTAGTCCTGGAGTTCCTGGAGAGCAAGGAACGTCTGTCCCAAACTTGACTCAGAGCTTCCAAAGTTGGCAGACTTCAACAAGTAAACATTCCATGGAGCCAACAATTTGCTAGGCTACCAGCGGGTCTGGAGGGCCTGTTGATGATGGCAGTTCTTGTGGGGATATCTCAATATGGCACACAATTGACACTGATCAGAAACACAGCGCCAAGGAGACTCTAGTCCTAGCCTTGAAATGTTATGATTCCAGGTTTTCAGGACAGAGCAGAGTTCACTTCTCATCTCCAGGATGTGTAAAAATTTGTCCAAAATGTAACTAAGAAGAAAACAATGGTATTAGTTACTTCTGCTCCCCGTCACCCTCAACCCCAGTGATTATGACATGGGAACTCACACAAAACTTTGAGACAAAAGAGCAACAAGTCTGCTTTATTGTTTGCTTGTTTGGTTCCCGAGTCGGGGCCGGGAAGGAGTGCGGGAGGAGGAATCCAAGCTTGCAAGCCTCTGCTCCGCTCTCCTTCTATCCAGTTGGTCTTTAGGACACTGAAGGAAACTCTTCTTCAGAAATAACCTTTTAACTTTTCTTCTGTCAGCTGTCTGCCAATCACGGAGCCAGAGGCTGAGGGGAGGCTTTGAGCAGGGCTGCGACTCCCGAAGGCAAAGATCGCGAAGCTTGGCTCTCCGGAGCGCTCAGGGGGCAGGTGACACAGTCGTGGGCTCCCCGGCGGGGGCTGGCTTGACAGTTTCCTCCCCGCCCACTAGCAGGGGAGCGCCCCGCCGGGCTGCACGCGCGCGCGCGCGCGCAGGGGGGACATAAAAGCTGCGGCCGCGCGGAGACGCGGAGCTCGCCCACCGCCCGCCCCAGCAGTGGCTGCATCATGCACGTGAACGGCAAAGTGGCGCTGGTGACCGGCGCGGCTCAGGGCATAGGCAGAGCCTTTGCAGAGGCGCTGCTGCTTAAGGGCGCCAAGGTAAGCCCGGCGCCCAGCCGCGGAAATTTCTCTGCTCACACACTCCGAGACTCGCCCCGCCGCCCGAGGTGCACTGGGGGAGACAGGGAGGCCGCGCCCCGCGTGCCCACTCCACTTCCAAAATTTGCTGAAGCTGAGGCTGTGAGCACACCTCAAAAGTGGCTGGGAGGGAACTCGAACCTAATTGCCACATTTCAGGTCCAGGAGGGGAGCCTCTTGTGTGTTTATTGTTTGTCCGTCTGTTTCGTGAGCTGCGCAGGCCCGCGATTCCTCTCCTCTTGTCTATAGGTAGCGCTGGTGGATTGGAATCTTGAAGCAGGTGTACAATGTAAAGCTGCCCTGGATAAGCAGTTTGAACCTCAGAAGACTTTGTTCATCCAGTGCGATGTGGCTGACCAGCAACAACTGAGAGGTAAGACAGGGGAATCAATCTGTCAACTGGGAACAGAACGTGCTCTGAGCAAGCAACAACCTGAAGGCAGCGGAGCCAGGGGGCCCTGGGTGCAGCCTCCGCTGCCTCCTCCAGAGCAGCTACCTTGAAGCTCCAAAAGACAGTTTGGACTGATAGGTTTCCTTCTGACAGCCTAATTGCTGTAAAACCGAAAGAAAGGCAAGACTGCTGGAGAAATCCTTTTAGTGTAGTCATTTGGCAACGCTTAATGTAATCAAAATTCCTCTATGTATTCAAAGACAGTGCTGCTGTAGTAATTATTAAATGACTGAAATTGCAGACAAAACTTGGAAGATTAAAGTAGGCTAAGGCACTCTTGACAAACAACTTCTCCCAGAAAGCTGGTCAATGACAATCAAATGTGGCAGTATGGTTGTTTTAAACATATCGGAATACAAGTTCAAGGAACATCATCACAGAAGTGCTAGATGCTTTTGACCATATGTTTTCTCTGGCTTTTTCCCCAATGAGACAGTACTTTAAAATAATAATAATAGTAATCATAATAAACTATACAATGTTAGAATTGTAGTAGAAACGTCTCTATCAGCCTTTCCTCAATGCTTTCCTGTTTCCGGCTACTCACTTAAAATAGACCAATCTACTTGTGAAGTATCAGGGACAATATTGGCATACACAATAAACAGCTTTGATTATAAAGCTGTTTTTTTCTTTTTTTTTTTTTTTTTTGTACATCTACTGGAGAACTTGAGAGTGCCCCAATAAACTTACAGGAAAAAAAAATTCTGGAGAAAAACTAGAAAAGTAAAATATTTGTATTTCACAAAGTTTTATTCAAAGAGACTGAGTAAATTGTTAGGCACTTTTTAATCAAGGGGTCCAAAAACTTTTGCAAATCTTATTCCAGTGCTCCTGTTCTTAAAGGGACATCAAGTGTAAATTTATTTTAAAATTTTAAAATATTCTGTAAGAGAAAGAAAATGAACTGATGTGTTAGAAGGAAGTGGTGTACCCACAGTTAAGAGAAATTGTAAAGGAAATTACATAACTGCAATCTGAAAATGCTAGTAAAGACCTATAACACAGATGACAAGCATGAGCAGAACAGATTTGGAAACACAGTACAAGAGGAACATATTGTGCCAGAGGACAATTATGTTGATAGTACATGATATTTTGGATCAAGGATAGAGCCAGGTCAGATCTTAATATTAATGCTGATGGAATAAGGAACAGTATACACAATCTGAAAGCCATTTCTGTCTCAATTTATATAGTTTCATAAATGACATTTAACTACTAATTGTACTAATTGTTTTTTTCCCAGTATTTAAAATTAGTATATTGGCTATAAACACATTCCTTAAGGATAAGTGATTGTGGAGGAGGAAAAAAACTCAGACACATAATGAGTGACCCGGGAAGGCATGTTGGTCATGAGAAATCCACATGTTGTCTGGACATCAGCATTTGTTTGCATCTAAAGAAAACATGACATTGATTTTTCCAATTTCAGGATTTAATGTTGCCTACAACTTTTAGAACCGTTTAGACAGTATGGAAATTATAAAAATACGAGGTGAAAAGGTTCTTGGAGATAATCTAGACATAACTTATTTTACAAATGAACAAATTGCAGCCAAGAGAGTTTAGATAAATTGCAAAGAGTACCACAGCATATAAATGTCAGCAAGAGCTAGACCGTAGGTTGCTTGAGCCTGGAATTCAATGGGATGTCAGAAAACGAGATGGTATACTATACATTGGGAAGGGCAGAGTATAAGGAATACGGTGGAGAACAGAAAGAGGAAAGAAAATTAAAGCGGCAATTAGATATACATATTTAACACCCTCATTTTCCAAAACGTGAAAGTTGTTTCTGTGGAGTTATGAAGAGTTAGAACATACTCAGAATAGAAGAGAAAAAAAAATACTGGGGGACTTTTTCCGGACCCAATTTGAGATCTTAAGAAACCGTTTTAAAATTCTATGAAAAAGGCCAGGTGCAGTGGCTCACGCTTGTAATCCCAGCACTTTCGGAGGCAGAGGTGGGCGGATAACGAGGTCAGGAGATCGAGACCATCCTGGCTAACATGGGGAAACCCCATCTCTACTAAAAATACTAAAAATTAGCCGGGCGTGGTGGCGGGCGCCCCTAGTCCCAGCTACTTAGGAGGCTGAGGCGGGAAAATGGCGGGAACCCAGGAGGCGGAGCTTGCAGTGAGCCGAGATCGCACCACTGCACTCCAGCCTGGGAGACACAGCAAGACTCTGACTCAAAAAAAAAAAAAAAAAAAAAAAAAAAAAATCCATGAAAAAGTAAACAGTTTGTATTGTATTTTGTTGTTCTTCCATTCCCGTGCAGTGAGTGTAAAAGGTGCATATTAGGAAATCTTGAAAATGTTTTTAGTAAACAACTAGCATAGTAATTTATCCGTATGGGAACTGATTAATCCATGTCTTCCCCAATATGTCTGGTGGTTGGTAATGATTATATGAATTTATTTCAATCAAAATTAAGCTTATGCTGACCTACTGTTTTTAAGGACTTCATATGTTGGCCTGGAGACCTGAGAATATATTTCTGTCATATAGAAAAATAACCACAATTTTTATCCATAGTGTAAAATAATATAAGTAGAATGAATGATCAAAGGCTCAGGGAAACAGTTTAAATCAATTAGAACTATGTCAAAGGCTGCTTTGAGAAACAATAGACATGTGATTGTACAGTGTAATGAAAGACACTCAGGCCTCAGAATCCGTGCCAACTTTATCCTGTTTGAACATAGTTTTATACAAACTAGTAATCTGAAGTAGTAATAGTAGTGAGAAAGAAGAAAAGAAGGAAATAGTAAACATCGAAGTTTCAGTAATCAAATAAAATCAACTGAATGAAAAGTAGACTTTTGCTAAGATATAAAAACTCCCCCAAACATGCATAATAGATCTGAATACACAAGAATACTTGTATTAACATAACACTTTATGAATTTAATGTGGCTTATAGAAAAGGATGTTTACCATAGTCTAAGCTGCAGAGCTTCAGTAACTTCGCAGGGACTAAGAGATGTTGCTTGCCCTAACTGACTTCAACGAGTTCTTAGCTTAGGATTTTAGCTCAGCTCTCTAAAATTTACCCCATTAAGTTACTGCTTATAGAACTTCAATGTGCATACAAATCATATATGAATACGTTAAAGTTAAGATCCTTATTCAGTTGGTCTGTGGTGTCT